AGCTGCTCTAACAGGACCAAATTCTGTATGCCCAGAGAAGCTGTGGCTGCCCCTGGATCCCTGGAAGTGTCCAAGGCCAGGTTGGACAGGGCTTGGAGCAACCTGGGCTAGTGGAAGATGTCCCTGCTTATGGCAGGGGGTGGGACTGGATGAACTTCAAGGTCCCTCCAAACCCAAACCATTCCATGACTCTATGATTTACAGATCTTTGTGCCTTTTTCCTCTAAAGTCCATTTCCAATGGTGCTCATGCACTGAATTCTGTCTTATTAAATGGGCTGATTAGTGAAAATATTAAGATTATGATGGATACTATTTCCAGGCTAATTCAAAGCAATGTAATTAGTTAACAATAAAATAATATAGTTCATTACATTGTTTATGCTACCTGTCTGGACAGCCTTCTTGAACCCCAATGACATACATGTCCTGGGCATAGTCAGGGTCTGTTGGCAATAAGAAGTCATCCAGATTCACTGGAAGTTCCTATTATAAAAGAAATTAAAAAAAAAAAAGAAAGAAAGAAAGAAAAGGGAAAAAAAAAAAGCAATATTAGTTGTGCTCAGATTTACAAGAAAAGTACCTTGTTTTGATAAAGATGATTTGATAAAGATGATTTGATAAAGATGATTTGATAAAGATGATTTGATAAAGATGATTTGATAAAGATGATGAACTCAGTTTGATGAGGAACATATTCATGAACAGAAAAACATCAGTAAAGCTGGGCTAACTTTACCACTGTGGAGACTTCTGTGCACTTACCTTCTGACCCTGCATGTTCCAGGTGGCCACAAAAATTCCAATACTCCGATCAGGGAAATATCTGCTCAGTTCTTCTGCTCCCAGTAAGGCACCACTTGCCATAAGGCTGCCTTCCAAATAGCTCCTGTGAACAGAAGATCCATAAAAGAGCATCCAAGGAAAGGGAATGGGATAATGATTTGTAATGCTTGAATCTTGAGTTATTCAAGAGTATATCTTTAAGAAGAAGGTATTTAGTATTTAAATACTGTTCTGCTTGCCTAAAGTTCCCTATAGAGGTCCAACTCTTATGGAGAGTTTCTGGATGATCTACAATAAAACAAAACCACTCGTCATAAAGCAGCCTTTCAAAGCCAGGACAGGAGGATGATGGTGAGGCTGATGCTGCCCAGGTGCTGTGATGAGAAGGCTGAAGCCATCTAAGTCTTCAGCCCCAGACACAGAATGAAGAGATTGGTTTGGTAACCTGGCCCAGGTTGCCCAGAGAAGCTGTGGCTGCCCCATCCTGGAAGTGTTCAAGGCCAGGCTGGACGGGGCTTGGAGCAACCTGGGCTAGTGGGAGGTGTCCCTGCCCATGGCAGGGGTTGGACTGGACGGGCTTTAAGGTCCCTTCCACCCCAAAGCAGCCTGTGATTCCATGGTGCTGCAGCATCTTGAAGCACCTTGGTTTACTTGCAGCATCAACACAGCTCCACCATGCCCAGTGTTCCAGCACCAAGTTGCTCCCAATCAAAGACTCAAATTCACACTCATTCCCAAATTCAGCTCATCAAATAAACACTTTATTGAGCCTGAGGTCTCAAAACATCACATTTGGAAAGGACAGATCCGTCCCACACCTCCTGCCCCTCCAAAGGACACGCTGTTTACACAGGCAAGGGCTGCTGGCACAAGGACTGCCCGTTGAATAAGCATTTTTAATCTCGCTTTAAGCTCTGCAAATAACGATGACAACACAATGTCAGGGAGTGCTGGGCAACCCACTGTCTCCAGCTGCTTCAGGGAGGGAAGTGGAAGAAAACCCTCATGAGAAACAAGTAACAATATATCCCGAGGGGCTTTTTTACCAGTTAGTAACACTTAACACTTTATCTCAGAATTATTTTCCCCTCTAGCACTGACTCTCAATCTTTGAATCAAGGACTAGATTCTTGCCTGGAGAAGCTGGGGCAGAGTAGCTCCTCTGGACACTGGAGCAGTTCCCAAGAGGTGATTTGATCCTGCCAGAAGCCAAACAAGCACAACACCTGCAGAGGACCCACAGCACCTTACAGGACAGTGGTAACACTGCATGTCCTGCATGATAGTTTCAAGCTAGAATATTTGGGTATTTTTCCTGCCATTTAACACTTTAGTTCAAGCCCAATGTACTTTTAGATTTAAAAAAAAGCAGTTCTCCCAACTGTTGGCATGCACAGGTACTGTTTGCAAATTTTCAGAACAGGTTATGTAAATATTACAAACAAACTGACAGCAAACCAAACATAGGAATGAAAATAATCAGGTAAGAGGAGTAAACACAGAGTATCTGTACCGATCCCTTCATCTTCCATCTGTTTCCAGTCTCCACAGCAGGTTAAATAACATGGAACGACTTCCGTGCTTTCTGAGCGGTCGGACATTCCCAGCCCTTGTCCAGTGGGATTCTCCTCCCTGCTAACACCCCCCAAACTTTTGCCAGGAGAAGCTGGGGGTCTTACCTGCTGCGGACATCCTTGGCTCGGATGGGGGTGAGCAGGCTGAAGGTGGATTTCATGGAGTCTGTGGAGCAGCTGTCGAACACCATCCCGTTGCCGTGCAGCCGGGTGTCGCTCAGGCTGCTGCTCACCCTCCCAAACTTGTGCTGAGAATAATGTTGGTAATCCAGACAATCTGAGTCGATCCTATTAGCTGTCCTCGGGGTGTGAGAGGCCACGTTGAGCTCCACGGGGGGCAGGGGGCGAGCCGGCATGATTTGGGACAGGCGGGGTTTGCCTCCCGCGAACGCTTTGCCCCGCAGCAGCCCCCCGAAGGCACTGGAGATCTCCGAGGCTCGTTTCCCCAGGTCGGAGGTGCTTCCCCTGCTCTTCCCCACGGCACTGGCTTCTGAGGCGTCTGGTGAGCTGTGCAAGGAGTCCTGCTGGCAGCAGGGATGGCAGGGGCTCGCCCTGCCCCTGTTGGGAGGGCTGGGGGACGCTTCCTGCAGGGAACCGTTGGAGGAACTCGTGTCGTTGGGGTCAGTCAGGCTCTCCTGGCTCGTCCTAAAGCGCCTCCACCTCCTCCAGCTCTTCTCATCCAGGGATGCAGCACGTTCCAGCCGGGGCTTCCGGGGAGGCCTCGGGGTGATCGATTTAATTTTCATATTGGCTTTGAGTTCCTCTGGGAGAAGCTTTAAGGTCTCACTTACAGGGATGCCCACACTCACAGGACCTTCGGTAGGAATTGCCACACGGCCACCAGCCTCCTTTTTGGCTGCTTTTCCGGCTTTTTTAGCCTGCAGGTCCTGCACTGCTCCACCCTCCATGCTCTGGGTAACACACACCCTTGAGTGCTGTGGAAATCCATTTGGAGTGCTCATCCTCCCCCAGGTACCAGCTGTGGGTGCTGCTCCAGGTGAAAAGTTCCTCACAGCATAGTTTCCTTCCCTTTATCACCCTGTGGGTTCACAGGGCTTCAACGACGCCAGCAAGGCATGGGAATTGCAGACAGCTCAGTCTTTAGCTGGGAATGAAGGGCAGGTGCACGCGCAGGCAGATGCATTGTCTGAAAAATTCCAAGGTGTGGGATACCTGGTTTTTCCCAAGAGAAACACATAAGGATAAAAAGTTATCGAGCTGCAAATTGTGATGCTTAATCATAAAGCATCTCCTCGCAGGACCTCCCTCCAGCACAACTCAAACCTTAGCGTGACCTTGTTAGAAAAACACTACTATTTCTTTTATCAAGAGCAGAGCAGAGAACTGACCCCCTCGCTGCTGCAGATACCAGGGTAGTGTGCACAGTTCTGTAAGAAAAGGCTGTGTGCCCTCTCAGAACGAGAGGAAACCCGACCTGCACACAAAGCGCAGCTCGCTCTCCTTGCCGTACACACACACACGGCGTCACCAGCACACCGGGCTGCCCGAGGCCAGGAAATTTCCACCCGTCTCACAGCAGGGAAATCATCGCCGCCGCCTTTCCGCGCCTCGCACCGACCGCTGACACCGAGCAAACACCCGAGGGAGGGCTGGGCTTGGGGGGATGGAAACGGCGTTCAAGGCAAAGCCCTCCAGGGGTGGGGGGAAGCACCTCGTCATTCTGCGGCTGCCGCGCTCCAACCCGGCCCTGCGGCCACCCCCGCAAGGGCGACACGCGGCGAGCGCAGCCCCGAGCGCGGGTTCCGCACGGCGGGGGCCGCCCCCGCATCGCATCCCCCGGGCGGGGCAGGACGGCCCGGCCCTGACCCGGCCCGGCCCGGCCCGGCGCGGCGCGGCCCTCACCGGCACCGCCGCCCCCCTCCCCGCCCCGGGTAGCACGCAGCGCGGGCCTTACCGGCTCCTGCTGGGATTCTCCGCGTTCCCCGCGGGGCTCGGCGGCGGTGGCGGTGGCCGTGCCGGTCCCGGTGCCGGTCCCGGTGCTGGTCCCGCTGTCGGTCCCGCTCTCGCTGAGCCCGCCCCGGCCCCTCCCTGGCAACGGCGGTGGCGGCGCCGGGCCCGGCCCGCCCCGCGGGCGGCGCCCCCTGGCGGTCGGAGGAGCGCCCGCCCTGTGAGGGAGCGCGGAATCCTCGGGCGCGACTGTCGCGATACGGGCGGCGTTCAAATGAGCAGCCTAAAGCGAACGTTTCACGCTCGTAAAAAAAAATTAAAAGTTGCCCGTGTTAAGGCTCAGAGGTTTGATTTTGAACATTTCAATACAGACAATGATCACGGAATCGCAGAGTGGTTTGGGTTGGAAGGGACCTTAAGAGCCCACCTTCCACTAGTCCAAGTCGCTCCAAGCCACGTCCAACTCGGACACTTCCAGGGATGGGTCATTCATCTTTCTACAGGAAACCTGTGCCAGGGTCTCACCACCCTCACAGCCAAGAACTTCTTCCCAACATCTCATCTAAACCTACTCCCGACACACAAGCCAGTTCCAACACCGAACACTCCAGGCTCCCTTACACAGACCATTCCCAGAAGAACAGAAGTTCCTTCACACGGACCATTCCCAGAAGAACAGGAGAGGTTCCTCCACCCAGCTCGCTAAAGCAATAACCACAAGAAGAAAGTAAAATGTGAAAGTGCTCCAGAGCGCAAAATATTTTATTTAAGAATTTACAGTGTCAAATCTTACACTTAGGAAAGACAGCTGCTCCCAGCTCAGAGGGAGCCTCCTTGAATGAAGTTGTTTGGCAGTCTCTACTGAAAGGAGAAAATAATCAGCAGCCCGGCCGGACTAGAGGAAAGCCAAGTGTCTGATTAGGTTTCAATTATAGAAAAGTAAACCACACTGACTGCTGCTGCCCATGGCTGGAATTGAGTATGGACCATCACACAGAGGTTTCTAATCCCCCCCCAACAGCCTTTTACTTGGGCTGTGTACAAACCTTTTGGGACACATGTAAGGCTATCATGATCTCAGAAAAGTGGTGTTATTCAGAAAAAGAAAAAACAAAACAATGGGGGAACCAACACTGGCAATTTCACATTCGTGTTACTTCTACTCCCGGGCAGAAATTCAAGTAAAATCAAATAGTTTGGTGACAAGTTCTAAATAAAATATGGCCTAATGATTTAATAAATACTTAAAGTTTATTTCTCTCTTTGTAGATAATTCAGATTCTTCAGTGAATATAAATGCTGCATATCATGGTTTTCAGGATTTCCTATATTAAACCTAAAGATTTTAAAGTCCATCCGTAGAGGTCTAATCCGCCTACTTTTAGTACGTTTGAAATTCACCTGTCAGCTACTTAAGACCTTGGTTATTTTAGTAATGGAGATTCAAGAACGGATTATTACGCTGATTCTGGCACTCAAAAGGAGAAAAAAAAAAAAATTAAAAACTTTCAAGCTGTTACCCCCCAGTTGCACAGTGCCAGCAGCTTGAGAGAAAGCAAGTAACCGTATTGCACTTAAACGAACACTCACTCGTCAAGAGAACAGCATTGGCTATGATACAGAGCTCCTTCCCCACTATACAGTTGGCTTTACAAGTAGTCTAAACCACAAACTACATACAGACTAGGAGAGATCCAAATCAAACCAGTATTAGATTACAGTCACAGTTTTTTCATTCAACGCAGGTCAATTTATTTGGATGAGCTGTGGCCCCCTCCCCGCTCCCGAAAAAACACAGCAGCGCGAGGCGTCTCCCAGGGGAACGGATCCAGTTCCACGTCCTGGCAAAGCATCACAACTGTGCATGGTCCTCTTAAGGCCACAGTGTTACGTTACAATGTGGACATGTTTGTTTGTTTGTTTTTTATCCCTGCTGGGAGGGGAGCATCCTTCAGAAATTAAGGAATCCCTGAAACTACGCCTTGGAAGGTCACACTAGTAGGTTGAAAATAAGGAACAAATTGCCTATGCAATTTACAAATAGGTTCTGTAACAGACAGCAACTATTTCCTCCCTTGTGTCTATTCTTTATCACAGCAAAGCTATTTCTAGCCAGGTTTTTTTTTTTAAAAGGAAAAGTTACATATATTTCATGTTTGGTAATGGTTTTGCGTAGATGAGGTGCAAGCAGGGAGACCCATGAAAAAAAATCACCCATCATTAAGTTTCTGTCATGTCAACTGCAGCTGATACCACGTGCCAGAAGGCTGAATAGTTCTTTGCATACTCAGAACATGATTGGGGATTCCAAATACAAAGCCATTGTATTCTACTTCAACGTTGGATACTTCCTCTGTCCAATTCTCCCCAGTCTTGAACTTCCAGTGGTTGCAGGAGACTAAAAAAAGGAAGAATGGAAATTAGAAAAAAAAAAAAAGTTCTGTAAATGTGTCATGCTGGAGATAAAATATAAAAAAATTGGGAATAAAGGTTTGAATGGAAATCTGTTAAATTAAGCAGGTGCCAGACTGGTCTTTGTGCACAATTAATACCCTACATGGAACAATCCAGATTAAGCTGGTTAAGCACAAAATCATGTTTTGTTCAAAGTACAGAATCACAGACTGATTTGGGTTGGAAGGGAACTTAAAAGACCCTCCAGTCCCACCCCCCTGCCCTGGGCAGGGACACCTTCCATAGACCAGGTTGCTCCAAGCCCCGTCCAACCTGGCCTTGGACACTTCCAGGGATCCAGGGGCAGCCACAGCTTCTCTGGGCAATGCTGGATCATAAAAATAAGGCAAAGGAAAGCTGAGGCCTTTACTCACTTGTGCAAATTGAGAGGGATTGTAGAATGGTACTGCTCCTGCTGCAGGTGCCCCCGAGGGTGGTACACTGGCAGGCTGGAGAGAGAGAATCTGCAGTTAGAGGAGGGCAGACCTTTGCTGCCTCTCAAACATGGTTTGCTGAGTTGTACAGAGCAAATATTCACAGGAATAATGCCACCAACATGGAGAGCACAGCATATTGTAACAACTGCAGAGTGCTGGCACGGTTTGCATCCAGATCTAGGAATATTACTTGCTTAATGTAGGAATTGGCCAAACAATGCCACACATGCATAAACTGTCAATAGCTCTGAAGATCCAAAGCATGCAAAACCAACACAAGACACCGGTGCAACTTCACTGAATTAGTACCTTCTGCCTTTGTTAGTACACCTTAGGGCTTGCCCCAAAATAAACATTCTATGTCAAGTTTGGCTTCACTAAGAAATATCAGAAAGGTTTGTATCACCCCTTTGTGGTGACCCCACAGCTCTGGAACTTACAGCAGAGATGAAGCATTCCTTTAATTCCTACAGGGACTTTTGCAGATGGTTTATTACCAATTTGAGACCGGCAGCAGCAGAGTGACTAAGTTTTGCCTGTTTGTGTCTTTTTAGATTTGTTGTGTTTGATTTGGGGAGTTTTTTGTTGTTTGGTTGGGTTTTTTTGTTTAAAATCAACTGACTTCTTTAGTATCCCAGGAAAAAGATGGTGAAATCATTATGTGAATGTCTTAGGAACATAAACAAAAAGCATGCCTGGATTACATGCACTCTGATAAATACACAAAACTGAAGACCCTGTTTGAGTGTAAAAAGGAACACTACATCATTAGCTACTTATAATGATTATTTCTGTGAAATGAGAAGAGGGGAAGATGACTAAAAGTAGCATTAGTGTTTGAGCAAACGCAAAATAAAGATGGGAAGGGGGGGAAGTAAAGAAGTTAACATAAATGAGAATGGCCAGCCACGTGTACCTGATTAAAATGCTGGCTTACTTCACGTGATAATGAACTCATTGAACTAGAGCGCGAAAGCTACAAAACAGCAAGAACACACAAATACAAAAAAACACAAATAAAAAAAGTCGTCATGCATGTCACTGCCCCAAGCTTTCAGTTGTTTTATTTCATTGTAAAAGTCTCACTGCCAAAGGTTAAACCAACTTCAAGTTAAAAAACAAAACCAAAACAAGAACAAACCAAAAAGAAACAAAACGTAAAGCCAGAAGTTAGTTTAAATCAAAAGGACTTCTTAAAGCACAAAATTATGTAGCTATAGAAAACATTTAGTAGGAACAAAGGTCATGTTACTCTGCCTGGCACACAGCAGTCTGTTCTCCTCGTGTCTTGCACTTAATATTAGTGAAATTACAAGCATGCATGGAGGCAAGAAGAGATCCTCAAACTGCTCTCAAATTTTACTCTGAAAAAGGCTTGTAAAAGTAGTTATATGGGCAAAGGAGATCATATCACAGAATGGAGGACATGAGGTTGAACTTCTCACATGGGCCTAGAGGGTTTTTTCTCTACAATTCTGGAGGGATTCATATTCCATCTTGGCTACTCATCAGCAACTGAATCAGTTATTTGGTTTTGATGAGCCAGTAGTAAGTCCACTACAAATTAATGCTTAAAATATGTTGTAAAAGTTAATTAGCTACTTTGCATCAAGCCTTACCTCGCCTGATTGGGAGCCATCAGGGTTTGCAACAGGAAGTCCAGATCCAGCAGGAAGGGCTGCAGGGTTTAAGTACTAAAGAAAAACAAAGCACTTCTGTTTATCACCATTACTACGATGCTGTTTCACATTTCTGCTACAGATCTCACTGAAGCAGAATTTCACAATACATGAAGCAGGTGAAACATGCAGTGTAACATTCTTATCTTCCTGGTCCCTTTCCTGGCACATCCTGCACCCACCAAACCTGCAGCCCTGCCAAATTAGGAAATGCAACTTCTCAGGGGATTCCCACTTCCATTTCCCTTCTCCAGTTCTTCAAATAAACCGTTAAACCACAACTTCTACAGCAACATTCTTGATGTGTTGTGGCTGTGAAACTGCTACTCAGAACCACGAGTGGTTTTTCATCAGAAAGCTTGAATTATGTCCACAAGACATTCTTTTCCACCCACCTCTGGTTCCACAGCTGCAGCAGGATCTGTGTTGGTTTGGTTTGCAGCTGGTGTGTGCTCTGCTGCACCACTCCCTTCCATCGGCTGGGATTCCCCTGGAACTACAGAGGAAACAGGATTTAGGCAAGCACTCCAAACCCATAAAGAGCCATCCAAACCTCCCTGCAGCTGTATTCATGTGACACACCTGAGTTTGGAACAAACACATTGGCAGGAATGGGCATTGGTGCCAAGGGGGCAAACAGGTCTGATGGTGCAGGAACTGCTCCACTTGACTTGGTTCCACCTGGATTCAGGACATCCACGTAACGGGCTCTGCTTCCAGCTACAACAGAAAGGCAGAAATAACAGAAATAAGCCTCGTGTTAGTCATGCCTGTGACTATTTCAGTCTGCTAGTTAAAGCCTCTTTCAGAATCAGAAAATAACACTCCAGGGACACAAGCAATAACACCCAAGTCAGGATACACTTGTGACAGAAGTCACAGTGCAGGATCTGGGCACAAGCAAAGGCAGCAGCAGCCACAGCCCCACTGAGTTGCCAGCTGTTCCCAAACAACTCCAGAGAAGCCCAGACTTCTGCCTTCACACTTTATGCAAGAGAAAATCTGAATTCTTCCATCCTTTGAGCATTAATATTATCTGTTACCTGCTCTTCTGGAGAATATGTTGACAGGGGCACCAGGGGGGCCTCCAGGTCCAGGTGGAGCAGCCTGAGGAGCTTTAGGAAATCCTGTTGGAGGTGGTGGTGGAGGTTTACTCTGCAGGGAGAACAAAAAAAATCCCATCTCATCATTGACTGAGAGTTTTAAACCAAGTATATCCGCCTGACATCTCCTCTCCTTATCCCAGAAGGCACGGAATTGGGTCTACAAATCAATATTCCCAACAGATATCTTAGTTAGGAATATCAGTATCTCCCAACTGATACCTTAACTAATGTCAAGGCATTTCTACAACCCACCTACACTCACTCTAAAAGGAAACAACAACAGTGGTTCTTATAATTTGTGGTTTTAGGCAGATCCTCAAATGACAAGGATGGACAGGAGGTGTGATTTTCTTTGCTGTACAAAGTATGACATTTTCAAAACTAGATTCTTCCTACCTTTTTCCCTGTGTTCTGTTTGCTGCAAGTCAACTTACAAGCAATTGTAAAGAGGTGATGCCAGCCTCTAAATGAACTGATACACCAGACTAAGTTTGAAGCAAATTCCCTTGCAAATTCAATTGCAGTTACTGAATCCACACCAGCAGCTAAAGACACAAATGTAACCCATTTATTAGTTTCAAGATACTGCACATTTTAATCCCAATGCAGCAAAAGGCAACTCTTAAAGGCCAATAACAGACTAAAGAAAATTGTGTGCCAGATTTCTGTTTTCCACTTGGAAAAATCACGAGGATTCAGATTTTTACCTCTTCCTCTGGTTCATCCAGATTAACCCAGCGCTGTTTCTGTTCATCCCAAACAATCTACAAGAAAAATCACAGTCAAAAATTAAGAACTCAATGGAAGCTGTTAAAAAAAAACCCTAAAAATAACAGTAACCATTTCTTTAAAAAAAGCCAGTCTTGGAATAAGCATAATCTTCAAAGTTTTACAAGCATTTGTTTACTCGTCAGAACAATGATCATCTGTCATGCAGAAGAACATCTGGAACAAATTCAAGTGTAAGAATGTTTTTGTGATCTTACTGATTTGTTCTTGTCATCTGGCAGGTGAGCCTCATTCTTTCCTTTCCCCATCAGCCAGCGAAACCAGGTTGCACCAGTCTAAAAACAAAATTAATGCAGTCAGTTGATTCTTTCCCCTCTGTCTTTACAGCCAGATTAAAAGAAACGTTCATGCAACAACACATTTTCTGTTAGGGCCTTCAACTTTGAACCCAGAGTTGCACCTAATAGATAAAATAAACAGCTGAGAGCTCTGGAATCAATTCCCTGGGTCAGGGGTTACCACACACAGTAAGAAATCTCCTCCAGCTATAACTGCACCATAGTGATAAAGTTTTACCTTTCTAGGTGCTGCCTCCTTTTTTGGTTCTTTTTTGGTCTCTTTCCCTGCAGGAGCAGAGGGAGGAGGAGGAGAGGGCTGTTTTGCTGCAGAGTTGGATCTCTCTCGTCCCACAGAATGAGCAGAAGACTCTGAGGTGGTTCGGGATCTTTGTCCATAGCCCTGTTATTACAAATACACAGGAAAGGACAAAGTTGTCACGGCTGGAGTGGTGGATTATATTTCATCCTGCTCCACAAATTCCCTCTTTAAAAAGTTCATAACAGGAAGAGATATAAAAGTTTCTAGAAAATAAACCTAAAGATGGATCTTTGTCCTGGTGCCTCGTTAGATATAAAGCCAGGGCATAAATAATACCTGTATTTGTATATATTAAAAATATTAAACATAAATGCTTAATAAACACACAGCTAAATATTTGACACAACATCCACTTTTTATCAAGAACTTCCACTTGAAGACATTTAATCTGGTTATTTGGGGACTTCTAAAAATTAAGCTTCGAGTCTTGCTGAAGAGCCCCAACATCCTCTTGTGTTTTCATTGTGCTGCAAATGCAGCTGCCACTTGCTGAAGAAATGAAATAAAGATACCATGCTGGCCATTCTGCCATAGAAATCCTCCTCTCTCTGTTCAGGGAAGGAGTTTTGTGGAGGAGACTCCGGGGCAATTCTCTGCATTCCTTAAAAACAAAATTAGATTATGTTACCAAGGGGCACAACAACAACAAAAAACCAACATCAAACCCAAAAGCTCTCAAGTCCCACAACAGTTTTAAGGCAAAAGTTTTCATTAGTTATGAATCTTCTTCTAGAAAGAATATGGTCTTTTAAAGAACATGAACTGCAATTGCTGTGATTTTTCTCCCCTCTTGCAGGGATTTGTGTTTGTTCCAAACACAGGTCATCAGAATGGGGCAGTTAAAGGTTTTTCACATCTCAAACCTGTGTATTCCTGTCTTCACTTGTGTCAGGTTCTGCTGTCACTGGACTAAAACTTATCAGGGTCATAGGAGCTCATGTCCACAGAGAGAAATCCCTGAGGCTCCAGCCACAGACCTTAGAAATAGAACTGCCAATCCCAGGGATTACCTGGCAGGGTCTAAACCATGATCTGGTGAGTCTGTCCTGGCTTTTAAAGCAAGTCAAACAAGCAGCATGAATCCTGTAACTTTCTACAGATGCTTCCTTACCATTTCATGGTGGTTTTAAATCTCATTACCAAATCCTGACTTATTATTTTCTAAATACGGAGATATTTTGAATTATTCCCCAAACTAGTTCATTCCCTTCATAAGGAAGGAAAGCTGTTCATTAAAATCCCAGACCTGTTTCCAGGTTTGTCTGCTCTTCTGGCCGTGGTTCAATGTCTTGTGGTGGCCCTCCTGGTGGCACTGTTGACCCTAAATACAGTGGGGATGGTTCAGTCCCATATGGATTTGAAAATCCTGGAGGTGCAAAGCCAGGCCCTGGACCAAGAGGCTGAGGAGCCACTGGATAGAAAGGGACACTTCGGGCTTCCTGGTCACCAGGAGGGATCATTGCAGCTGAGCCATCAAGGACAGCCTGAGGTACTGCAGCACAAAAAAAAAACAAAGTTAAGAGTTAGAATTCAACAGAAATTCCAGAGTGAACCTTTTAACCTATGAATGACACAGTGCAGAAGTGAAACCCCACTGCTCCAACCAGCCCCAGGTGGTTTCTGGGATCAGAAACCCGAAACGTTTCTTTTCTCTCTGTCACAAAGGATACAAAACACTGACCTGAAGGCATCAGCTGCACGCTTTGCATCTGTTGAGCCACGTTGGGTAACAAAGACGCCAACAAGGCGTTCTCAGCACCAGGCCCCACGTCACGGCCCCCTCCTCCCTCACACTGACTCGCCCGGTCCAGCTCCGAGCTGGGGGTGCTGCATTCGTACGGTGGGGGGGTGGATCTGTCAGTGTTATAGGATATTGCACCCTCCTGCCCAGAAAAGAGAGGTGTTATGAACTGCACCACACGTGCAGCTCCCAGGGAACACAGAGCAAAGGAAATCTTCTGTGTCAGAGCTGCACACAGAGTGTTTCAGTGTCCAGTCAAAAAATGAGCTGTCGGCCATTTATGGGCCAAGTTCAACCTATTTAAAGGATTCATTAGTTTTTAAATCAAAGCACAGTTAATTAGCTCAAGGTTCAAATTTCTAAAAGATCTCTTTAAATAAATGGTAACTGCTTCCTCTCTGTTACAATCTAGCAATGCCAATTCACACACAACTTATTTTTCTGGCAAGCAGATCCCCTGCTTCCAGCAGCAGTTGTTACAACCTCAGGAGTCCTGCAATTCTCCTTTGCATCATGGTATTAAGAAAAGCCTGTCTCATAATTTTAACTATTCTGTATTGAATCTCAAGGCACTAAAGTGTGGTAAATCCACTTGCTTCAAATCATAACACTTGCAATTTATGACATGAATATGTAAGGTCGCTTCATATGCTTTCAAATCTTTTTCGCAAGCCCAGCCATGATGAAAGAAAAATATTTTAAGAAATGGATTTACACTAATCCTGAAAAGAGAAAAACTTCATGTTGAGAAGCACATTCTGTACCTTGATCTGTCCATCCACATGTCTCAGTGTTATCAACCAGGGGGGTTCAATCAAAGATTCCTGTTCTGGTTTTTCCTTTATCTGTGGGTCAAACAGGCGCAGCTGGGATGACATCTGGGGGAAAGGAATCATTGCAAAGGGTGAGTTCACCTCCCAGCACAGGGCAACTCCAGCCACAGCCTCTCACCTACAACAGGATGCCACAAGCACTTAATTGTTCCTCCTGTTACCTGGATTAGTTGGCCAATCAGTACAGGGGAGTAGTAATGTGGATCTTTGAGGACAGTTCTGGAAATCACTTCACAATAATGGAAAGCCTGAGCAGCCAGTCCCATTTCAGCCAGTCTGCAAGCATAGATGAATTTGAAAACCTGGGGGATGCAAGCAGAGAAATAAATCAAGTGATCACAACACATCAAAAATGAAAGGCAGTCTGACATTTCAGCTGGAAGCTCAACTATCCCCTGATCATATCTATATAGGCAGGAAAAGGAATTTAGTGAAGAAGCATTGAATTCTCCCCTTCCACACAATGCATCCAATGAAGTTATCAATTTCTCTACAGTTAGTGCCAACAAGTGCTGCTGGATTTTTCTTCTGGAACATAAAATTGCAATAACAAAATTTAAAATTCAGAAGTTCAGGATGCAGAGATGAAAAAAGTGACAAGGAAATTTAAGTGACAACAGGAAAGCAGGTATGGCACTAAGCTATGAATTAAATATTTGCTGTGCTGAATACAGCACATGAGAGACTAAAACCCTGTGTGAAATCTGCCAAAACAAAACCCAAATCAAAAGAGAAACAGCTCTTCACCTGGAAATTGGGTAAGCAGCCAGGCTGACTTCCTAGTGACTGTGCATATTCATAGGCTTCAGTTCTTTGAATGGCTTCATTGGTAGCAAACTTTAAAAATGGTAAACTGTTTGGGAACAGGAGAGGAAAAGTATTAAGTGTTTATAAATGCTGACAATAAACATGGATGTGTCAATCAGAAATAGAGTCACAAACATCACTCTGTTGACACACAATATCACCACATTCTCTTCAAAAAAAGGACAGGGCATCAAACAATTCTCTCCAAACCAGCAACTCCTAGTAAGGATAAGGGGAGCAGTGCAAGTCAGTCTCTCAAACTTTCATTTTTGCATCTAAAAAAAAAAAAAAAAAGGAGGAAAGCCAAACCTGTGATTTGATCCAATTAGGACAAGCTTTGTTGTCTTCCTTGTGTAAACTCCAAACCCAACTTGGGCCATAAGGTAACAAAAATGAGCAGCATCCAGCAGGCCTTTAGAAGCTGCAGAGGAATAAATGAGAGAACTCAGGATATTTCAGTGGCACTTTGTAACTCAGTGTCCTGTATTGTTTTGCTTTGCATCAAATACCTTCTCAACAGAGACAAGGCCACATAAAACTGTTCCATTTTATATTTTATACAGCAATCACTTGTGTTCAAAAAAAAAAGAAAGTTGAGTAATCAAATCTTTCAGAAAGTTTTTCCTTCAGTCATCACCCTGTTCATTCCCCAAGAGTTACCAAGAGTGTCTCCCATGGTAGCAATGGTCCTGGATTCCAAGTCCACATTATTGGTCAAGTTGGATAACACCATTGCTAGATGAGGCCTCCAGTCTCCCCATTTCTCATCTCCACAGCACTAAAATTAGAAGAATTACTTAGTCAAATCAGTGACTGGAGCTCTGCATGGGTAAGTGCTTCAGCCTAAAAAGGACCAGAAGAACTTATCTGACATTCTAGGAAAGCAAATGGAAAGACTTCTGCTGGGAACTACACTGCTCACTGCAGCTCCCACTTGAATCTTACCGTGGATGCAGCTGGCATCCTTCCAGACATGAGCTGGTAAACAGTCTGCAGAGGGTCATTAATTGGGAGACTGTTGGCAAATCTGCAGAGACGTTGCAGAGAAAAACAAAACACAAACATGGGGTAAGCAGTTAAAATGAACTTCGACTCCCAGTGGTAATTAATCCAGCTTAGATCGGGAGGAGGAAGTGCTGTTTGAAAACAACACACTGAACAAGCATTTGCCCGGTGGATAACGTTGAAAACATCACCAGTGAACTGGATCTGTCAACTCCAACATCAGTCAGTCCAAGGTAGGAAAACCTCAGGATTCTCCCCAAGCCAGATTATGAGACTTTGTACATGATTTCACAAGCCCGGGAAGCTGAAGGCAGTTTTTCTGTCTACAGACCAATCGTGCACAAACACATCTCTACTTCTTTTAGACAAGGAGGGTGAAGGCACCACAGAGTTATTTGGCTTTAACAAAGCTGACAGTTTGGTTTGGCCCAGTTTTTTCCAAGCCTGACTAACAGCACCTGTCAAGCAAGGCCAGAGATGACAGTGATCAAATACCCCTTAAATGGAAGGAGTGGCAGAGAGTAACTTGTCAGGTGTTAAGTTTACAGCCAGAAGGCCCCAGAATAAAAAGTGACAGATGACAAACAAACACACAGGTAAAATGAAAGCATAATTTTTGCATGAACTACTAAGGAGAACTCATGATTTTGACATTAGGATTTCTAAGCCCCAAGTCTTTATCTCATTAGCAAGACAGACAGTCAAATCCTACTAATCAACAAGCAAACCAGTACCTGGTCATCACTCTTGCATGTGTCCTGCTGTCCATTTTGCTGGCAAGGAGCAGAGCATGCCCCCACAAACCATGTTTCATGGCAGACTCCAGAGCATCCTAAGAAATACAAATATTAGTTTCCTGGTAATAGCTTAGCATATTGCTCAGACAAGTAATGGCTGTTTTACAGTGCTTTGTAATCAAATAAAAACATGTTTGTTCAGATAACAGCTGACACATGACTGTGATTTTGGTTTAAATTATAGACAGTAGGGTATAACATTTTGCTGTATCAGGGCAGTGCAGGGCATGAAATAAAACAAGCACTACAAGCTGCAAAAATTATTTGAACTGATGCCTGTGTGAAAATAATCAAACAAATGGATTTGCAGGACACATGCAGTGTTTGGAACACCACAAGCACTCACCTTCTTGCGGCCATAAAGCAGCAACTCCCTGAATCTCTCAGTCTCTTTCTCAAAACTGTCAACTGTGGTTAGAAGATTATCAGTGAGAAACGAGAGCTGGGCTTCACCAGATTCCTCTTCCACTTGTTCCAGAGCCTCATTAGTGAAATCAATCAGATTTGCCTCATTAGGGGATTTCCCAGGAAGCCACACTGTTTTATGATCTCGGAGCAAAAGTTCAGCCAGGTCTGTTCCCACAACAGTCTGGGAGTGTGCAGAGAAAACAAAAATCAACAAATCTGTTTGCCTTCATTTTATTTGTTACTTCAACAACAATATGTGAATGAGCACTTGAGGGCAAGTCCCCTGTTTGCCTGCATGAACTATTCCCAGAGAAGCCACTACACACATATTACTGACTTTTACACAAATACTATTTGTGTATAAAATATTTTAGGGCAGATAAAAACCCAAGCAGTGAGACATACCCCATTCTGCCTGCACAGCAGCACAATGAAGTCCCAAAGCAGACTTGCAGATTCTTTGTCGATGAGATTTTCATTCTTAAAGCACTGTGAAGCTTTACTTTGTGCAAAATTAATAACATCCACTTTATGGGTCTCATCCCTAAAAAAAAATATGAAAAAATAATTTAAAAAAAAGCTTGTAATGAGACAAATGTAAACATTCAGGTCATTATTGTGATTAGTATAAGGAATATATTTAAAGCCCATGTGTTATTTAAGAAGATAAAAAGCCACAAATATTTTAATTAAGCTTAAATCCTGTAATTTACAGGCAGTGAAATGCTCAATGAAGAAATTAATTCTGAATGCATGAAAGTTATTTCTGAAAATTGTAAGAACATACTTAGCAAGAGGACCAGGAAACGCTCTCATCTCTTCTTGCTCTGGAGAATGTTGTAACATGGTCTAAAACACAAATATAATCCAGAAGAAGTTTTTAAAATATGAATTTTGCTTTCTAACAACAAAACCCCCAGACCTGAACATAACCCAGGGTGTAATCAAGGGTGACCTGCAACCTGCACAAGGATAACAAATAATGAAATGAATTTTACATGGAAGTTATTCTGTACATCACCATGAACAAAACTGTAAAGAGCTGGATGATCTGATCATGACTAAATCATCTCTCAAAGGAAAAGAACTTTTAAAGCTCCTCTTTTACTTATGATTACAACCCAAACAAAGATAAATGCAAAAAAACACATATAAAAAAAAAAAGTCAAGTTCCCTCTTTCCCTTCCAAAATAAAGACCTGTATTCCACCCTCTGCCTTTTTTTCCTTTCAAACTTTACCTCCATGCTGTGGATCTCAACCAGAGCTGGCTGGCCCTCAGAAGGCAGGTTTGGCAGTGCTTTTATCAAGAAGCCCCCAGGCCCAAACCTGGCACAGATATGAGGCACTGAAAATTTCTCAGGTGTTGAGGGTCTTAAAGGTGCTGAAATGGGAAGGAAAGATAAAGTAAGAACAGGTAACCTGTCTTGCCACTAAGTAAACTTGCTGCTGTATTTATCCAATTCAATAATCCTGCAGTGTTAGTGGAAAACACCCTGCCATTCAATCTGGCTACACTTTATAAGCAACAATTAATCAGTTCCATTATAGTCCCAAACAGCTAAATAATTCCAAAGTCCCAAATCTGAAGATTTGCAACAACTAGAACAAAACTATAGAGCTTTAAAATCCACTTATTTTTTTCAATGCAGGGAATTTGATTGTCTGTATCAGACACATTTCTGTGACCTCAAAGAGCCAGTAATATACATCAACATATTTTGTGAAAGCTCTTCCAGACAAAGAGTTTTGTTCTACGTAAAAGGATAAGGAAAAACTATGGAAAAATCTGAAGTTTGGGTTAAACTTCTATCATTCCCAAATGAAGCACAACCACTGTACTTAAAAATCTATCTAATGGAGGTTTGCAGTATTTAGAGCAACCACTGCCTAGTCTAGAACTCCTGATCTGTGCTAGTCCCAGGTTTCAGCAGCAAGTTATCCTCTACTGAAAAGGAAACAAAACTTTGTTTGTGTGAGCTCTAAACCAGCATTTTATTCTACTAACAGGCTCACTGAATACAGGAAAGGCATCTCAAGGCATCTCATACCCTACAAACACTCCCAGCAGTGCAAAGTGCTACTGGCAGAGACCCTTCCAGGCACAGCTCCTCCCCTCCTCCCTCCCCAGCGTGCCCATACCTTGTTCCACAGCTGCCCATCCACCTTCAGCCGGGTAGCCATAATCTGCAAAAGGCTGCTGTCCATCAAAGCTGGCATCATATCCTCCATAGGGATAATCTGTGTGGAGGGACACTGCCTGGGCAGTGGTTTCATAGGCATTGGCCGTTAGATCGTGATTGCTCCTATAGAGCTGGCTCTAAACAGAGCACATTAGTGAGTGTTAGAGAGCAGGAGGTTACACAGAGCAAGCAGGACTGCAGACTGTGAGCACCCCCCCTGAAAGCTTTGATTCTGTTTGTAAACCAGGCTTACTGCACCACTGCCTTGGAGGAAACCACCCTGTAGGAACAGGCTACGGAAAATAATTAAGATATCTCAGTGATCTCCCTTACTGCTTTTACCACCATTTGATCTGTTCACATCTAAGTATGTTCAGTCCTCTCATGAGAATTTCTGTGTGCTTGTGTCAAAAGTGACATTATAGAAGGAGTTGTGTTATCAATAACTATGGGTCAGAATCAATGTTCACCTCTGCTACAGAGACAAAATCTCAACTGATTAAACTTGACAGATGCCTAAATGTCTTCAGGTGCCTACAGATTAATGCCTCAGTGATCTCCAATACTATCCTGCTTCCAATATTACTACATGAATTGGAGTTCAGACTGGAAAGCCACCTAAACTTCCAAGAAACACGACGAACCAACACATGAGACTATGAGTAAAATGACCCACCCCACTGGCAAAGACTGTACCTCAAAAACTAGCCAAATGTTCTCTGAGGTTTTCAGGTACATGTTCTCCTGGCATAAGTGGATGAGTAATCAGTTAGATTTGGTCAAAATAGCACCATACAAATACAAAGTTAGTGCTTTAACAGCTCCCAAGTTCAGTAACAATTTCATGCTTGTGATGAGAAAAACATGACACAAAGCCAGGCACGTTGTCCACTACAGCCAAGCACAGGGAAGGCAAAGATCTCACAAACAGCAAATGGACTCAGTGGAGAAAATTTCCCATTTCTCTGTGTGATTGTGTGATTTCGGTTAAAGTTCTCTTGACAAATATTAAGCTCAAAACTACATCCCAAACCAGCCTTAGCTTAGAAAATAAAATACACATCCCGATGTTTCACCCGCCCCAAGAACTCCGCTGGAGCAACGCTCGGTGCTTCCAGCTGGAACTCACTTGCTGGGAGCGGGAGCTGAAGCTGCTCTGGCGGCTGTGGACGCTGCGGGAGCTGCGCAGGCTGTGCCCGGAATGCTCGCTGTGCACGCTGCGCCGCTCGAAGTCGTCTCCGTAGGGATCCCGCTGGGGCTCCGAGTCGTCGTCGAAGCTCCCGGTGAAACGGGGGTCGTACCTCCAGTTGTCCTCGTACCGGTCGCTCCTGGAGAACGAACCAAAACTGAACACAGATCACCCACACCCCCGAGGGGAGGGGCTGGCAGGACAACTGTGCCGGAATATTCCGGATCAAGAACAAGATCATTCTCAGAGTCTGTTCTAAAAACCCACAGAATGTTGAACAGGTCTGAAAACAAGTTCTGCTGCCTTAAATCCTTTCTTTAGACTGATGTGACAGCTCAGCTGTTTTTCCTCCATGACCTGTTAAAAGTTACAGTAAGGACTAACAACACATCTCTGTGAAATGTGTAACACTGCATTTTAATTGTCTGTTACAGAGAATGTTGAGGGAATTTTACTCATAAATCTGCCTGATACTTTGAAATTCTGACGCCTGATACAACCATCATCTCAGTTCATAAATTTTGAAGGCTCTGGGGTGGATCTTCAGAAAATAATATTTCTATCAGTGCACAAGCAGAACCTCAGCCTTTGCCTTAATATCTACTGTCAGAACCTGATTTTCTGGTGGCACATTTGAGCATGGAGGCCTCAACCCTGAAGAAACCAGGATCAGATTCTCCACCTCCACTCAGCCCTGTGCTGCCCCAGGTCTGGAAAGAGCACTGAGAGGACATGAATTGAGAGGACAAACCTGCTGCCATATGGATACGCTTCCCTCTTCTGGTAAGGGTTGTGTTCAGCACTGTACCAATACCTCTGGTCATAACCCCTGTACCTGGGGTCATAAGCTGATGGTTCCCAGTGACGTGGATCTTTGGAAAAGAAAAAGAAATGCTCTGATCTTAAAGTTCCTCTTCCTAATAAATTATTGTTTAAACCTTCAATTTTCTACAGAAAGAAATTAAGAGTTGATTTTGACAACTTACCTCCATAATAATATGAGTTTGAGTAATAGCCTGAATAATAATCACCCCATCCACCTTTTCCATAATAGTCTTCTGGATACCCTTGCCTGAAAGAAAGCACACAAGTATAAAAAGTTATTATTACTCCTTTAATATCTTCTGAAGTCAGCAAGAGATAGGAAGAGCTGTATGTCACCACTGATTAGGGAGTTTCATATTTAAAATAATGCATTTCCAGGAAATCAAGGAATCATAAAATTGAGACTTTACAAACCAGTATGTCACTAAACTGCTGTGTGTCATGAAAAGCTGACAGCCCTTACTATGCAATAATTTAGTGGCTTTGGTGATAAGTTTAATTACTTACAGACAATTAATCACAAAAACTACTGCTATAATTAGCATCCTTTGAAGTGTCTCATTAGAGAAGTTGATAATTTAACAATTAATGAAATAACAGCTCCTCCAACTTTAACAGTGCTTTGTTACACTTCTTGTGGTGAAGAAAATACTCATTTACAGAGCCCATGTCAGAGTGCTGATTGTCCAAACAGCACAAGCAAAAGAACCCGACTAAACCAACACACCAAAGTTAAGATATTTAATGCCAGTGTGGGATGATGGGAACTTTCACGCTCCTCTACAACTGATCCTACAACTGAGAGTGCCAACTCCAAAGTGGCCAAGCAAGTCAAGGGATGCTCCTCCCAGGAGTGTGGGAAGGTGCTAACACAGCACTTGCTCTGCAGAGGAGGAGGTCTGATCTTATCAGGTCAGGTTTATCCACCCAACCAAGTCTTCCCAGTCTCCTTCAGAGGGATCTCCGTCCCTTCCCCAAACAGAGTTTACAAAGCTGTATCATCAAGCCTGGCACATCAAGGGCAGGTTCCACACAGAGCTCTGGTGCCCTGCAGACACCCCAGAGCCCACATCTGACTGCACTGGTAGCCCCACACAACTGACACAGCTACTGGTAAGGGGCTTTGATCTGTCAGTGTCACGTACAGGAACCTCAACCTCTTCTAAAAACAGTACACATGAAGAGCACACACCAGGAACTGCTACTAGAGATTATCACAGGTAAGGGAATTCTTAGACAAATTAACCTGACACAGCACCAGGATGCTGTCACCTGACTCACCACACTCTCTCTTCTGGACACCTCAAACACTGTGGATCATTAGGCCACACTCACCACAGTCCCTCCAAGGTAAATCCCACACCAGTGTGCAAAAGTGACATTTATTAACAGAACAAGGGGCCACTGCTTAAGTGTAAGCCAGAAAATAAATGAGTATTGATTAGCAAAGCCATGGCCTGCACTGCTCTTTCACAGCACAAACCTCAGCACCGAGGCCATGGCAGTGACTTCCTGCCTGGCAGAAACACCTCCAGCCCCCAGGGAACTGAAGGAAAGCAGCAAGGAGGCTTCAGCAACAGAAAGGGCTGGGGAACTGTATCCCTTTCAGACCTGGCATTCGATGCTGCCCGTTCCTCTGGCAGCACACAAGGAAGGTTTGAATTCCTCACTGTGTCTCATGCTATAAAACTCCACCAGGAATCACCACACTCCCTGCTCTGGGATATCCCAGGTCTTAACTCAGTTCAGGAACTGCATACCTAGAAGAGGGTCTGTCAGAGCAGTGGCTGGCTCTGGAACTGGGACGCTCAGGCTCGGGATAGCGGTAGTTCCCGGGCTCCATGTCAGCAGTGCTGGTGCTGTCGTAGTGTTGGTAGCGGGGGTCGTACTGCCCGTAGCTGTCCTCCTGGAAAAGAGAGGCACATCCAAGGGAAGAGGCTGCACACCTCCCAAAAAAAAGATTAAAGTTGAAGCTGCCAACTTTTTCCAAAGAATCAAACAAATTGCTATGAACTGACACATCTGTGCCAACTGGAATTGGTATCAGCAACTACTTCAGTTTCCATAATCTTTGCAATGTAAGTTTTGTTACTGCCATCTGGATTTTCCCTGCACTAAATGAGAATGCTCTACCGAATGTTTATCATGATATATAAAGTCATCCTTCAAAGATGAACACCAATAACACATACTGAAAGGGGTGGAAGGGGGAAATAAAAATTTACCATGTAATAAAGGTGAGCCGCTGTCCTGGGGTCTGCAGGCGGATAAGGCGGCGGATACGGAGGCTGATAAGCATCATAAGGGTGTCTGTAGTAGTAGTAAGGGTTCTGGGGGGGACCAAAGGCATCCTGAGGAGTCTGAGGCAGGGATGGACGCTGCGGGTCCTGCTGCACGCTGGGTGTGCCCGACTGACCGGAGGTGGCAGAGGGGGCTGCGGCAGCCGGAGCGCCCGGCGGCTGTTCCGACCCCGGCTGCTTCCCAGGACTCGTCTGGTCGTACCTTGGCTGGGCTGAACCTGCCTCCTGGGGACCCCCAGGCTGAGGATGGTTACCCAGCCCCTGGTTCTCCCCCTGTTGCATGGCTTTAGTCCCTGTGGAAACCTGGGAGTCTGGAGGAGCCGTGGCCTGCCCAGACGTCGGTTGCTGCGTTTGAGCTGCTTGCATTTGTGGTTGGGGTGGCAACGCTCTGTCTGACACAGCCTGATGCTGCACATCTTTTGTCACCTGTTGATAGAAATGTTGTTTGTCAGGCACCTCGGGACGCACCTGAGCAGCACCACCAGCTGCCTGTTGTGCTGGACCACCAGGCTGGTTGTGCACCTGGACGGAATTACTCGTGCCGCTCTTCTCCAACGTCCGTGACACTGTGAAGTCGAGCACTCCCGCAGCTTCTTCTTTGCAATTGGAGTGGTTTGCAGAATTATTGCCCTGTCCCATGGAATTAACAGGGGGCACTAGAGCACTCGCACTTCCACTGGGAAGATTTATCCCAGGAGGAACAGATGAGTTAGACCCTGGCTTGCTAGCAAATTCAGGAACAAAACCTTCCACATTAACATTCTTTTGCCCTTCTGGAGCCAAATTAAGAGGAGTTTTCATAAGCAAGTTTGCAGGCTGATTAGAGGCAGGATCAGAGGAATTAACAGGGCTTTGTAATAAATTATGTTTTAACAGATTAGCATTTGGAATTGCATTAACTAATAGAGATCCAACTTGCATCACAGGTAATGCCATGTTTTCCCCACCAGCATGTGAAGTTTGGGGACCCATTGCAGGCTTGTCCCCAACTCCAGAGTCCTTCATTGGCTGATTGTTTTCACTGTTGCTTAGCTGATTAGATAGAGAAATAGAAAAATTAATTGGCTGAGCCAAGTTATAGCTTTGATTAGGCTGAGCAATCAGGATAGGCTGATTCTGCAAAGACTCTGTAGGTGGAGAAGACAACAAACTTGCATAACCAGAACTTGCCTGAGACTGAAGTGCCTCCTCTTCTCCCATTTTGGGAGGATTCTCAAGATTTTCAAAAGTTATATTTCCATCCTGGGAATGCTGCACAGCAATAGTCCCTGGTTTACATGGCTGCTGATTAGACAGGCCTTCTTCTGGTGGCTGGATGACTTCTACAGTCTGTTTGGCAGGTACATACACTGCAGGGGCAGCAGGAGCCAGAAGCACATTTCCCCCAAAATTGGGTAGCTCATTATGAGCCCACAAAGTTGTTGCTGGGCTGTCACACTTCTTAACTGCTCCCTGAGCTCTTGTTGAGGACCGTCTCTCAGACACTGATTGTATGTTTTCCACAGCAGGTCCAGAGTGCAACACATTCCCAGCTTCACCAGAGCCTGCAAGAGGCAGTGGATGCACCTGAGGCATGAAAATGGTTTCCAGGTTATCCGGTGGCTGTTCAAGGTTGCCTGGGGACGCAGCTGGCACAGCTGTGCTCTTCTTGATATTCTTCTGGTTTGAGTGGCTCTCTCTCAGTTCCACCACCATCTTCGCTTGGTCGATCTCTGCGGGTTTTATACCAACCCCATGGGACCTCACGGGTTCAAAAGAACTATTTGCACTCGTCTGAAATACTCCCGTAGGCTTCGGAGGGCTGGGAGTTGGAGGCTGGGATAGATTCCCGTGGTAGTTCTTGCTCAGGTTTAGCTCACCTGAGTCCCCTCCCAGAGGAGAGGAGTCAATCTGTTTGAAGAAGCTGGCAGAGGATTCCTCATCAGGCTTCCCACTTTCCTGCTGGATGAACGTACCGACTTGTTCTGGAGGCCGTGCTGAGCTGGAAGTGCTCCTGTGGCTCATGCTGCTGTAGTTGGAAGATACACTATCTGGTCGGACAGGATGAGGTAATGAATCAGGTGCCTCCAAATTTGGTCCTCCTTCAGCATGGCTCACAACGGCATTCTTTGGAAGCATCTGACCTGGGAAGGATCCGTACCTGTACGGATCAGGACCAGCAGCAGGGGATGAAGCACTGATGTTCTGTGGTTCACTGGGCAGCACTTCCTGGTTCTGGATGCACTCCAGGTTCTCCACGTTTTCGTACTGAGACCCAGCAGCCGTGTCACCCACGTGAGCCTTGTCATCACCACCAAACAGAGAGTGCTTAGCAGCCTGTGCCTCCTGATGACTCACAATTTTTGGGAAGTACTGGACATCCATTCCTTTCTGTACCATCTCACTGGCTGAACCTGCACCAACCTGGGCCTGAGAGAGAACATTAGTTGCCACCTGCTGAGGATGCACTGGCTGGTGATACAGGGATGCCGAATTTGGCTGACAAGCATCAAACTCTGTTTTCTCCACCATGTAATTTTTTTCAGATGAAAGTATTTCTTCATTTTCTGCCTCATCCCCTTTGAAAAACATGGAGAGAGTTCCTGAATCCCGATCAGTGGGGACAGATCTATTTGATGTTTCAGATATAGCTGGAGACTGGTTTTTGGGGTTGTTGTTTTCCTGAGCTGTGGGAGGGACAAAACTGGAGTCTTGCAAGGGTGGCTGTGGGTAAAACTGTTCCTGGTAAGGTTGATTTACCCAAGAGTTAGCCATTTCTGTGTTCTGCCTGAACACACTTCCAGGTTGGATGCTGTTCATGTGATGACTATTTGCAGAGCCATTTCTCCCATTCTTTTCACAGCCAGCAGATAAAGGCGCTTGCACAGTATTTTGTGGAATACCTTGGTGTCCAGGACCCTGCAGTACATTTGTGTGTGGAGGAGGGTGAGAAACGCTGCCAGAAGGCTGAGAAATGTTCTGACTGTCAATCTGAGAAGACGGCTCGGGGTAGGGCACGAAATTCCGAACTGGAGACTGCAGGTTCCCTTGGCCAGGCCTCCACTGGGGCACAGGCGGCGGGGGCAGTGGGGTGAAGAGCATTGCCGTGCCGGATCCTGAAGGAACGTCACTGCCAACATCCTGTCTGCCTCCAGGTTTGTTCGATGCAGACACCGCTCCAGGATGCACACTGAAGGAATTTTCAACTGCCGCTCCTGGGTTATAATGCAGCGGCACCGCAGGCCCGCGGAGTCCGGGATCAGCGCCGGGATGCGCTTCCACAGCACTATTTAAAACGTACCCCGGGGACGGAGAAGGAACTGGAACGTTAGAAAACGTACTGGGACTTATTCCTGGTTGAGACACAGGAGCTGGTAAAGACGTGTGTGGTCCGTGGGGATTGTCCCCTGCACGTGAGGGCGACGGATGCACAGGGGCCATCTGCGAGAAGAGCCCCTTGGATGGGCTATCTAAGGGGGGGCCCTGGAGGGTCTGTCTGCCGAAGGCAAAGGGGTCTGTCACGGGCTGCACCGGGGCAGCTGCGGCGTTGGCCCGTTTGCTGAGGGGGCTGTTCCTCCAGTACATGTTCCGAGCGATGCCGGCGGGAGGAGGAGCCGCTCCCGCCGGGACAGGCTGCGGTGGCTGCTGCATGGTGGCCCTGCAGGGTCACGCCGTGACGCTCCGGCACTGGATGCTGCAGGCGGATTCCTTCTCCTGCCCTGCTGAGGCAAAACATGACAAGTGAGTCTCCTTTCTCACCATAATGCAGCGCTTGAGCAATTTTTATTTGAGAAACAAAATAGCCCGAAGAATCTGAAGCGAGAAATATCCCCCCTTTCTCCAGAACGCGTCAGAAATTAACACACAATGTTTTATTTTTTCCATTTGTATTTCCATTTTATTTCCACTTGTATTTCCAGTATTAATGAAGTTTAATGCTGTGTGGTAACAATGCACATCATTTAACAACTGTATTAACAAACAGCTCCAAGTAAGAGTAATTGAACACAGGTCAGACCTGTACTAGTGTTAAACCCTCGGACTGTTACAGCACCAATGGTATTACACTGTTACATTCCCTCAAAATTTGTTTTAAGTAGAAATATGCATCAGCAGCCAGCCTACAACAGAGCCTGCAAGCACTATGGCCTGCTTAATTCACTTATGAGGAGATAAGAAGTTATTATCTACCTCTAATTCTATTAGAGATGATCTTCAGCTCGGCTGCACTGGTGCTCCATGTGAATGGAGCTTTTCACAGGTAAGATGAGAAGCATCCCAAGAAGGAATTCACCAGATGTTATCACCCCCAACAGAGCACAGTCCATTTCTGTTTTATCAAGACAAGGTTGAGCAGGACACTGGCGTTATTTATTTTGAGAAAGGCAATTGGATTTCTATCACAAATATTGCCTCTCCTGGATGAATGGTGCATAATAAAACTGCATTTAAGGATAGAAAAACAATCAGCTCCCCCCACCTATTAACGAAGGTTCTCACTTTAACACCAGAGGGACTCTGGCACAGTCTCAGGGTTACAGCTCTATTTCAGGGTGAAGTAATCCAACCCCAACTCCAAACAATGCCAGCCAGGAATCTGCTACACAGGAAGCTCACTCAATTCATCAGGGTGTCTTTTTCAGTTTTATCACCCCTGAACAATGTGGGGAAGAGGGAAGCTGACAAAACCAGAGGAATTCTTCAGTACTTGTCCAGTGTAGCCCAGTGGAGCTTTAGCAACATGTGATAGTTTTGTTTTCTGATGGTACACAACAAATACAGTTTATAATATGGAGGGTGAAGTACCCACAGCAATTGCTCCATTCCAGATCTTTACAAAAGACAGACAAAAGCCGTGCAATTTTTAGCTGGAGTTCTTTTAAGATTCAGCATCTTGTCAGTAAGAGTAATAAAATGGGAAGCCAGAAAAGTCAGATGTTTGTAATCAAGCCAGAATTTTACGAGTGAGAAAGAAGTTCAAATGAAAACACTCCTGATTTCTGCTTATCAACAATACATTCTGAGTAACTACGTGTATTTCACAGAGATTTATAACTAAAAAAAATCCAATCAAAAGCCACAGTACCACAGCAGCACCTACACAGACTCTACCAGACATCAGCACAACATATCCTAGGGATAAACCCCTCCAACAGCCCTGTGTATAATCCAGGACCCTCTTCCAGAGTCAGAGTCTCTCTGTTTCTCCCCATATCCACACATTCCACTGCCATATCTTAAGATTGAATAAATTTGTGTTTCATTAAACTGGAAAAGGCAACCAGAAGTGACTTCAGAAAGCTTCACCAGTTTCATGCACTACTTGCATTTGCCTTCACCATTGTTTTTGGAGCACAGCTGCCTGCTGAATTCCACCAAGGAATGCTCACAGAAAGCTTTTAGAGCTTTGCAATCTTTTCTCCTGTTTTGATCATCCCGAGGTGAAGGTTTTCCAGCTGGCCACACTTAACTGCCAACCATGTTTCCAGGAAACCCTGCCTAAACACCCAGCCCAATTTCCACAAGCTGAAGTAACCCCAGGCTCTTCTGGACATCACCAGTCCTTTCTCAGCGTGGTTTTTGCTGCATTAACCAATCTGCAAAACCTCCAAATAAGCTTGTGGGTTTATGCAACATCCTTTGGATTGGGGAGGGGAAAAAAAGCTAATTAAACCACACGCCAAGGCAGATGGAAAGCACTAATTTCACCCAACAGAACTTTGATATCTACCAAGTAGCTTTGTTCCTCACAGAAAAGTTGTTTCTGAAATACAGCTGAGCACAAAAGCCAACTTAAATACCCACTTCCAAACTTTCAGTGTGGACTTCACTCCTTGCAGTGTCTTACACACACACACAAAAAAACCCCTCATACTTTACCACATTTTTGTTAATTAAAGTAAGTGTAGAGTTCTTCTTTAAAGGCAGAACTTGCCATTCCTCACACAGGATCTCTGCCTGTCTGATGACAGAAGTTCAACACGAGGGCTCAGCTTCCTCAAAAGCACAGTTAATATTAACAGACTGCACACAGCAGTAAAAGCACCCAAGATTTGAGGGATTGAGTCCAAATAAAATGAACATGCCCGTGTCAGGTAATTTAAACAACAGCTATCAACTCAGTGCTACTGACCCTCCCTACCCCTCACCCAGGATTAACAGAAATGCTGATTTTAAGGTATTTATAAATGAGAAATAACTACACAAGTTAAAGCAATCCATCTCTGCTGTATCTAGCTTGGAAATGCTTAACTTTCAGCTGGTTCATTAATTGATAAAGCAGAGCAGATTGCTAAACATTAGTCACCAGTAATAACAATTGCAGAGGGTGTCTCCAGGAGTACCAAAAAAAACATTACCAATGAGGGAAAAAAAGATTAAAAACACCCTCTAGACAAGGCCATAAAAAAATTCACCTGAAAAGCTCTGTAGCTTCATATATAATGCTTTATTTGGGGGGAATTAATTTAATCCTATCTCCAAGGGACATATGCTAAATAAATTACTCTTAGATAGAATATGTCCACAAAAGCAGGTTACAGAGGACTAATTAATTCTAATATTAATTCTAATTCTCACACGTGATGAACCAAATAATAAATAACGTTCACACACACAGATTCCTGATGAGGACAAAGTGACTGAAAAGCCCTACTGCAACCTCAAAGACAAGAACAGCTGGAAAATGAGATTTGCAGCAACGACTGGGACACTGGTTTTTCAGAATTCCTTTTCCATGTAGGCAGCTGCACATCTGCACACATGTGGGTGACACTCGGACCAAACACGTTCTACGTCTTTAATAACCCCTGACAGCTTCCTACTGGCCTTCTCCTAAATGGTTATAAATGTTATTCAGTGAAAATGCAGGGACAGGACAAGGGGAAATGGCTTTAAACTGAGAGAAGGCAGGGTTAGATGGGATACTGGGAAGCAATTCTTCCCTGTGAGGGTGGCGAGGGGCTGGGATGGAATTCCCAGAGAAGCTGTGGCTGCCCCATCCCTGGAAGTGTCCAAGGCCAGGTTGGACGGGGCTTGGAGCAATCTGGGATCGTGGGAGGCGTCCCTGCCCATGGCAGGGAGTGGAACGAGATGGGCTTTGAGGTCCTACCAACCCAACCAGGCTGTGATCCCGTGAAAAGAGCTGTCTGGGAACCCAGAGCACAGCAGCGGCACAAAACCCTCCCGTTCGTTTCGAGAGGACCCCGAACCACCAGCGCTCTGCCCCGGCAGGTCCCTGAGTCAGCAGCAGAGCTCGGACCTGTGGCACCTGACAGCTCGGAAAAACAGCCCCGAGCCGGCAGAGGCGCCGCGCGTCCCCACGGGGAGTGCGTGACACCAAACATCGGGCGGCACCTCCTCCCTCCCGCGCCCCTCTGAACACCCCCCGAATCCCCCCCGTGTCCCACCGAGCCAGCCCCCCGCCCCACGGACCCTGCGGGAACAGCCCCCCGGCCGCCACTGCGGCAGCGCCTTCGCCCTTCCCCGCGGCACCACCGCCCGGCCCAGCCGCGGGGGGCTGCGAGCCCCGCCGGCCCCCCCTGCGGCCGCCCCGGGGCCCACCCTGAGGCGCGGCGGGCCGGGCCTCGGAGCCCCCGCCCGGTGCTCGCACCTCAAGCGCCCGGCGCTCTTCACGCGGTGCACCCGGGACGCCCCCGGCGCGCCCCTTCGCTCCGCCCCGGCCGTACCTGGCAGCCCCCGCGGGCCGCGGCCCCTCAGCGGCGGGCGCGGGCCCCGCCGCCCCTCACGGCCCCGGCGCCGGCAGCCGCCGCCGCCATCTTGGCACATCCGGATCGCGGGGCCGCCGCCGCCGACGTGTCACGCCGCGGCGCGCGGTGACGTCACACGGGCGCGCGCGGCGCCCCGTGGTTGTTGTGGCCGCCGGAGAAGGGGGCGGGACCGAGGGTCGCGGGTTCGAGTCCCGCCCGGGGGGCGACTGAGGGACCGGCGATTCGATTCCCGCTCTCAGCCTCTCCCCGGTTCTGCCACGGCCTCGCCCCTCTCCCGGCCGGGGCTTGGGGAAGTGTCCCGAGGAGTTCCCGTGCGGGTCGCGGTCCCCTCGGGTCCCCAGGGTGGGTGCAGTGTCGCGGGCGGCCGCCAGGGCGGGACAAAGCACCGCTGGTCCCAGTCCCGGTCCCGGTCCTGAGGGAATGTGGGGCGAGCACTGGGGACTGCTCGGGACTGCTGGAACTGAGAACTGTAAACACCTGACCCCCTCCCTCACATAAGGAATTTTTCCCTGAAGTCCAACCTAAACCTCCAATGGTGCAGCTTGAGCCGTTTCCTCTCATCCTGTCCCTTGTTCCCTGGGAGCAGAGCCCGACCCTTCCCTGCCTCCAAACTCTTGTCAGGGAGTTGCAGAGAGTGAGAAGGTCCCCCCCTGAACCTCCTTTTCTCCAGGATAAGCCCCCTCACTCCCCTCAGCCGCTCCTGATGCTCCAGCCCCTTCCCCAGCTTCATGTCCTTCTGCATGTTTATATGTATATATACACACACATATATATATATTCAAAATCATAACATGATGTCACACAGCTCAAGTGCAAATCTAAACATTTCACTCCCCTCTCTCAGCTCTGTGTTGCAGGTCTATTTTACAAGAAGTTTTTAAGCGGGGACCCCCCGTTCCAGCACCAGAGAAATGTCTCTCATTCACCATTCACTGGCAGTGCCCACACTGTCATGCTCTGCACACAAAAAGCAGCCTTAGAGGGGAAAGAAAACACGACGAGCTAACCAAACATCTTAATCAAGGGTCATTATCAGTGCAAGAGCTGTTTCTGCAGCTTGATCATTAAAGCAGGGGAATATCCTCAAAGCCCTGTCCAAGCAGGGGAAGCAGCACTTTGATGCTGGTGTGGGAACAGCAGAGGCAGCGCTGTGATTTTTAAGGGCCTTTCATCTCCCTCTCTTGTAGGAACATTCTTCTAAACCAGCTTGTCAAATACAATTTCCCTGCACAGGCATGAGTTGCAGATAAAGCCCTGGTTCTCCCTTGATATTTCCTCCAACAGGTGTAATCTGAGGAAACATGATTTTAATTACCCTGATTGGCTTTTTTAAAAATACAGATGTGTTCTAAATACCAGCAATTGCTCACATGTATATCTATGGTTAGAGATTCATGTTACATATTATCTTACCTTCTTCTTACATATGGATCTCACCTTTGCTTGTTCTCCTGGTATGGGATTATAAAGAATTGTCACATTAGGACTTTTTTTGATCCCTTTTTATCCTGAAGTTTTCTAACTGCTTTGCTGTACTCAGCAATACAGATCTGGGCTTGAGTGACCCATTACAAATAAAAAGCACATCCTTCTCTCCTGCTTCCTCAGCTCACCTGGGGTACAACACAAATTATACTGTCCTTTTTCCATTAAATTTTGAGGATTTATTCAGTCATTAGGCTGCATACGACCATAAACCCACTTTTCTATGAAAAAGATCGTTCTCTGAATTAAGAAACAGGGAAAACAATTAAAGGAGAGTATCTGTATCCCTTACCAGCATTCTGAATCATGTTGGCCAGCTGGACAAGCTGAGTTTTATTAATTTACTCATTTTGTTGCTATGATTATTCACACTACCCCAGCCACATTAACCCATGTGGAATTCCAGGGAGGCTAAACCCGAGGTGCATTTGGCTCCTCTGCACATTCTTCAGGGGGTGATTTGAGTTGCAGCAACAAATCCTCAATCGGGGCTGGAGCAGCTGTGAACAACTTTCTGAGCAAACACCAACAGCCTGGAGGTAGAAGCAATACAGAGTAGCAACTTCTGAATGTCCCATCTAATTGAGCAGGAATAATGAAAACAAAGAATGAAAAGAAAAAAAAAAAAAGCCCTCCAGCATGTAAACAAATAGTTCAGGTGCACTGATTCCTCTTAGCACCAACGTTCCTGCCCTGGCAATAGCTGGTGCTAATCTTGTTTTATGCAAACACTTCTGAACCCTTCCTTTGGCGTTGGGTATAATTTTAGTGCTTCTCAGCCTTTTTCACCTGGAATGCTAAAACAAACACACTTGCCACTAATTCCTCATCATCTTCTGGTGACAGCAGAGCTTGAAATTCAGCTCCCAACATGACGTAAAGATGAGCTTGTGGTGGGACAACATGGTTTGGTTGGAGGGGACCGAGGGAAGGCAACTCCTTCTGGACAGGGAGTTGGTGTGAAAGCCCTAAGTGTGGAGGGAGAGTTTGAAACTGGGGCCATTTCTCTCATTTCTTGTTTAAATTTGCCTTAATCCCAGCTGGGGATCTGCGACCCCACGACCACCTCATGTACCCAGTCAGGAAAACAGGGACAAGGGACTGGCAGGAGTTTGTGGGTCACCAGGTGCCTTCATAAACATATGAGTAATTGGAGGACTAAACACTTAAAAACTAAATTTTGCATCCTTACTCCTTTACTGCTCAGAAAACCTTTTCTGACTTGTAGTTGGAATTACCTTGTGGCCAATTTATTAGTGTCTAATAATTTCCCTCTTTCCCAAGCGTATCTTGGGAAGCCCATCCCCAGGACGTCCCTCGGGGGTAGCAAGATCCTCGACATGGAACCACCTTTTGCAGGGGGCAAAGGGGTTTGTCCTCGGTTGAAATCCCCCTTTCCATGGAGTTTTCTGGGAGTGCACCCTGGAACTTCACCTCCCTGACCCCTGAAAAGTGCTGTGTTTCGCTGCTGGGTGGCACATAAAAACACCACAGCACCAGCTGCTGAGTGGTTGTGCAGCAAATGTCTGGTGGCCCCAGATCCGTCTGGGGCTGGATGGATATCAGGCACATGTACACACATGCCCACTCCCTCCCCAGCCACGGAGTGGAAAATACCAGCATTCCAGGCTTATGTGATTTGGGAGGAGGTCAATGGCTCTGCTATTTATATCCAGTTATCTGGGGACTTTGCAGCTGCATTTGGACTAGAGACTCCCTGTGAGGGAGAGAAAGAATTAAATTAAATTACCTTAAAAATCTTGAGGGCAGCAGGGACGGCAAACATTTCTGGGTGGTGGTTGAGCTCGGAGTGACACAAAAACTGGCCCTCTGCTGCTGCTGTTCCTCACCCCGTGGCTTCCCAGTTCCAATCTGTGCCAGCCACCACATCCAAGAGCCCGGGTACGGGCTCAGCACTGCCTGGGAAGTAAGGAAGCACTGCAGGTAACTCCCAGCACCACACTGTTCCCATGGGCACTATGGAATTAAAAGCACATGCCTATTTTTTACCCTTCACCATCTCACCAGCCAGAAAACGCCCCTAAAAAACTGATCAGAAAGCAAAATTTTACAACACTTTGAACAGGCTTTTCAGAGCCTTGCTCAGACCAGACGCCTCAAGCCAATGAGAGTTTTCCCACAGCTCTGCTGTCACCAGTTTTCCCACAAGGTAAGGAGAAATGTTCACCATCCAAAGCCCTCTCTGAGCATCCACACAGAGAACAAGATGCTGGGGAAGCTCCAGCGCTCCGTGCCAAGAGGCAGCCCTGCACTATCGAGGACCAGCAGGTGCCAAGCCCAGATTTCGACCGCTCCGTAACAAAAACACCAAGTTCCAGTTTTAGTAAAATCTAGATGCCCAGAAGCATCATTTATTGCAAATCAGTTAACCAAAAAAAATACATCATTTTTGCAAACTACAACTTTGCATGTAGATAGCTTTTATTACAGAAGATATCTTTTCTTAAACTACACTCTAGTTTATAAAACATAGGAAGGTTCAACACCACGTGATGTTTTTATCACTCATATTAGGCGTGTCACAAGAACAATGGTCTGAAATGTTAACTAAGATGAGTGCTCAGCAAGGCGCTGGGCCTTGGGAAAAATCCATTTTATTTGGTGTTCTAATAAAAAGGAATGAGGAGAAGGAACCCTTTTCTTAGGTTTTTCTTGATTAACTGCTCTCTATCTGCCTGTCCCATACACATATCTAGTCTTAGGGTGTCTGCTTGCCTTCGCACCCGAGTGAGTGATATTCCAACACCTCTATAAGGTGATATATTTATGATATATTTAAGACTCGCTCATTTAGATTTTTGAAACAAAATCCACCTTTTCTTTAAAAAAAAAAAAAAGATATTTACAAACATTAAATCTGCCACAGGCTTATACTATATTTTACATGATACACAGAGAGAGTGTACACCAATATAAAAAAAGATGCATCACTCCAGGCTAACGTTACAGAACAAAATGTTAAGGTTTCACGGCACAGGCTCAGCTGTGCTGCCCTTCGCCCTCCAGTTCAGCCAGTCCAGCATCCCACTAAAACCAGCAGCAGTGGCACTGCCAGAGGAGCTGGATCCGGGCGAGCACGCGGTGGTGGCAGTGTTATAAAATGCTTTGTAATCTCACTCGGGGTGTCTGCATTAATAGACACGCCCTCTTTAAAATAGGCAGGCCATCCTTAAAATAAGGATGTGGTTTACAAAGTTTATATTGGCATTTATTTCTTAAACAGTTACTCAAAGGCAAACACGAAAAAAAAGAACAACATCAACAACCAAAAATAAAACCAAAACCAGTAAAGATATTCAAAGTAAAATTAAGTCTCCTTTGTATATATACTCCATAGCTATGGGTTTGCTCTCTTGGAAGTTTGGCAAATACATTTCTTTTTGATGGGGGACAGTATTCATGTTTTCTAGTTGGTTTGTTTTTTTTTTTAGCTTAGAACCTGTTCTTACAGGTCTATAATCCTGATTTTCTTTTTTTTTAGATCATAAAAATCATTTAAATATATATATTTTTATATATATATATAAAAACAAGAGAGAACAAAAATTTCTATTATCAAGGCAAATGTACA